TACATAATCAAAAATATCAAGTTCTCTCATTTGATTAAAAATAATTTTCTATTCTTAATCTTCTATTCTTTATCTTATCTTTATCTAATTATAATTTTTCTACTCTTTACCTTATATTCTTTATTCCTTATTTTTTTTTATCATGTCTAAACGATAGGTTAACTGACACAGCGGAGGTTTACGGTTAACAACGGAGGATGTGTTCATTCATTATCAGTTTTACGTTTGAAATGATATCTTTCAAATCTTTTATAATTGTGCCGTCATAATCTTAGGCATTATCTATTGTACGATAATAATAACGTCTTAATAATAACATTATAAACATTGTAAACATAAAAGTGATTATTTTTTTATAAGACTACGCAAGAATAAGAAAAAGATATGTGTACAAAGCGAGTGTTAATATTGTTACTGTGATATCCAAATATAAAACATAGGGACAAAATGATAAAAGAAATAAGAGAAATATATTACATAAATATTTATAAAGATCACAAAATAATTAGGAGACATAATAAATTTAAATGATAACAGATCGAAATGGAGAAATAGAAGGAAATTTAGCAAAAAGATAAAAATATGGAATACTGGGACAGATTCTAATAACTGGAAACTTGATAATATTCATAATTATTTAAAATTTAGGATTGTAAAATACGGAAATAAAAGATTACTTATGGAATACAAAATATGATATTAAGTACAATACAAGATACAAGATACAAGATACAAGATACAAGATACATGATATTAAGTAAAAATTATATTAGCAATTGAAATATTTTCTGAAATACTACAAAATATTTTTCTTTGAACTTAGCCAAGAATCATATTTTTTTACTATTTACAAAATGTTAGTGTAAGCAGAATGACAACTTAAAATAATTATAAATGTAAATATTAATAGTGATGTGTGTGTGTAATTTGAAAAAATTGAAATTTTGAAGAAAAATATAATTCGATTCTTTTTAGATTCACGATCTTTTTCAGAAAGTAAAAAAAAAAATGTCCATTTATTAGTTGTATACGTTGAAATATTCATGTATTGAGTCATCTCAATTAGTAATTGTATAAGATGTGTAAAAGCAATTTTTCAACAAATACTTATTTATCCATAAAATATAAATTGTTTTTACACTTTATTATATCTTATAAAATAAAATTTATTTGCACTTCATACAACCAAGAAGGGGACTTGGTATACAAAATTAAATACTTAGCCACACTCATTCTTTTACTTCGGTATTTCCGCTCGCTTACAACTTCCACTCGTTCTTCCTACATTATCTTTTATTTATTTCCTACATCTTTTATTTACTTATTTATTTAAATCTATCATGTAAGCCTATCTTATCACAGGCCTATCTTTTCACATTTCTTTTTAAATTCTTTTTCTCTTTCCACATTTTCCTTAAAACATTTTCTTTTGTCCAATACCTCCCCCCCATAGTCTCTCCGAGATCGTCTTTTTGTTTTTATTTATCTCCATCCACCAACCTCTAGTTCTCTGATATTTTCATAATGTTTTATATTACTTTATCTTTCTCCTTAAAATATAAATATCCTCCTTTCCTTTTCTTCTAATCAATATTTGTTTATTTTCTCTAGATTTCCATATCTCTATTTCACAAGTGCTCTAATACAATCTTCCATGTTTGTTTTTTCTAGATTTTCTTTCCTTAAATAGCTGGATTCTCTACTATTTATTCCTATGACTTGTTATCTAGCATTTAGATCTTACTATCTTCCCATTATCTCTGTGTATCTTTTTTCCTTCTAATTAATTCTTCTTCACAATTTCATTCCCCAATATTAAGCTATGGCTTCTATATTCCACTTCTATTGTACTTTTCTCTTTCCTT